GAAGATAAAAAGCTTTTTATAAAATATAAGTCCATTTTAAAGTTTTAAGTTTAATATCTAAAAATAAAAGAATACTAAGCATTTTTGCTTGGTTAGAAAATTAATATATATAGATGCAGAGAGTTTAAATAGATAATTCCCTAGTTAGATTATTTACATGATATCTAGTATAGTTTTTACAGTGTAATGTTATCAAATAGACAGATGTTTTATAGAATAAGTAGGCAATATAAGAAATAAGCTTCATTAATGATTAGTAATCATTAATTTTTTAATATCAGAGTTGTGGAGTTGGTGAGTTTGCCTACCTATTCTATAAAACATCCAAATAGGCAACTAAAATTGCATATGTGGCTAGTTGTACTCTTCAAATATATATACAGTATAGTATATACTATACTGTAAAAGTTAATAATAATTGAATAAAAGAAAAGTGACCAAGAGGTTACTTTGACATCAAAAAAAAAAGCCTGTGCTTAATTTTAATCTGCACACTTTTTTAATTTGGTGATTAATACAATCTGTTACAAATTTCAGATGTGTAACTGTAAGACATGAGAAAATATAGATAATAAAAACTTTAAATAATCTAGTTTTTTATATATAAAATTCTAATTATATATAAACAGAATACAGTTGGGTTGGGTAAGGTCTAAAGTAATCTAAGTTGTGTGATCTAATAATATATATAGATGTATGTAAATTTGAATAAAATTATAATACAATATAATATTAATAAAGACACAAAGCACAACCTTACCTTTAAAACATAAAAAAAAACAAATTATTTTTCATGAATTACAAGTAGCTGAATTTGATATTGAATATTCTTTTATAATTGTCTTTTCTGAGATTAAACCAAATAAATGTTATATGATTTCACTAAAATAATTGATTGAATTTAAGAGTACTTATCGTTCTTAAAAACTAAAGGTATTATCTAATATGTATGTATGTAAGTACGTATTGTAGAGAACGATCAAATATCGTGAAATTGCATGCGTATTACATAACTAATAGGCATTTGTTCAAACTGCGCTTATGATTAGTTATCATGATGACTATTCATAAGCGGAGTTTGAACCGACGCGATAATTGTATGTCAGTTTCGTGTAACACACGTACACCAATTTTTTGACCAATGAAATTGCAGCGCTAACACCGAATTTTGGAGGCGCAGCAAATTTTATTGGCTAAAAAATTGATGTACGTGATGTTACACAAAACCGATAAAACTTAACTAATATTCAACATATTCAATTCTTATTAAGATTACTTATCTAAAGATTAGTTTTGGTACTCTAAAATCGCATCGCATTTTAAATATTTAATTTTCGACATTTAGACATCCTAAAATATTTAAGACATTCTAAAATATTTTAGACATTCTAAAATATTTTAGATATACTAAAATATTTGAAGTTCTAAAATAAATTTTGCTGCCTAAATTATTTTCGGCTTAGGCTGTCTAAATAATTTAGCCATTTAATTTTACGACAAGAGTAAAATAATTTAGACACCTATGTATAATTATATCCAGTGTTCGTTATAGGAAGGTTCATTATACCCAGAGTCGACTGTATTATGATTATGGTTTTTTAAGTATTTGGGATATTCTATTGCCTTTTAAAATGATTATAATCCTCCTCCAATTTATGCAATGACTCAAAGTTCTTATTATTAATACTATCGAGCCATTTGTTACGATTTGGAATCATTATGTTTTCATCAACATTTTTTTTTGTTGCGTTCTGGATTCAGAATTATAAAACTTTTTGCTCAAATAAATAATCAGAGTTATAGTCTTCCGGAAGAGCATTAAAAATAAAATCTACAAGGTTTTCTGGTGCAATTGCATTTCTTGATTAGTTTTTATAATTTTATTTCTATTTCATTCTTTTTTTTTCGTTTATTATTAGTGAAAATTTGGTTATGGCAATCGATGTATATTTTTAGAATATTGTGTTTATTGAATTTTATACCTTTAAAGAATCACTTGGTTTGTCAAGGTTGCAACGATCGCTTTTCATTTTGAAGGATTAAAGATAAAAATCACTTACTAAATCAATTAATATTTTATAAATATTAACATTATCATGACCCTAATCATGATGAATTGACAATATCACACGATTTTCGACTCCCTGCCTTGGCCGATCCGGTTAAATTATTGATTTCGGCATGATCGATACATAGCGATAAATTACAATTTATGTTACGTTATATACATATAGCGATAGATTACAATTTATGTTACGTTATATACATATATAGCGATAGATTACATTGTAATTTGAAATATGAAGTATTTTAAACGAAAATTTAGTAAAATTATCGTAGAAAAGTATCATATATAATGCATACGTCTTTTATATATATGGATATAGGGATATATCAGTATATAGGGTGGAAATTTGCGTGTAAATTTCTGATATATAATTTGCTGTCCAGAAATTTTATAGAGCTGGCACACAAAGTCTAATAATGATGGCAATAATCGTGCACTGCATTAATTAATGTAAAAATTATGTACGTATAATTTGTAATTTTATTGAATCTATTATGCCGAAATAATAACTTAACCGGAACGGCCGAAAAATCATTCGACAGACTTTTTATCAGGTGTTTCAGAAATTATGAAAACAGCTTCGCGGCACGTTTTTGCCAAATTACCGTTATTCGACAATTTTTGCCCAGCATATTGATATTGTATACTTCATTTCAAAATAATGTGTACCGTATATAACGCACTCATGCACGTTATTCATCCACTTTTCACATTATTTGGAAGTAAGAAGTCACTTTTTTGAACTCGATATACGTACGCAAAATCTGCAAAGATACATGTTATACAAAATGGTCGTTATTACGGTATGAGCATGGTTATTGTTTTGAACTAAATATGAAATTTCAAAAGGGGTGCATTTTTAGAAATAATGCCCACTGGCATTTTTCGCGGCTACATACTAACAGGGACTTGAAATAACACATAGATGTACAGCACATTATATTTCGCGATTATATGGTATAAAAAATGGTTTATATAAAGAATTACTAAATCTATTGTATCCAAGTACAGTATATACTATTTATATAATTTATATACTTGCCGTCCAAACTACAAATTTTTAGAATTATAAACATAATAAAATTGTTCAAAATCCCAATTTCAAACATAATCAGTAAGTATAACTATTTGTACAGTAATATTTCATAAACCCCATGGGTTTTGTTAATAAGTATAACTATTTTGTACAGTAATATTACGACAGGTGAAATCCGCGTTGATTGGTTATTTTATGTAAAATCTAATAGTTGAAACCCTCGATCAAAATAAAAAATTTAAATTTTTTTTTTTTTTTAAAAAAAAAAAGAGTGAGACCTGGTTTCAGTTTTTTTATTGATAACGTTTGTATATGAAAATTCTTCTAAATTTGAGCAAAGATATCTTGACAACTACTTAATCAAACCCGATAAAAATTTCAAACAAACAAATGTTCATTGGATTTGATCAGGTAGTTGTCAAGATATCTTTGCTCAAATTTTAGAAAAATTTTTTATTTTGATCTCAGGTATTATTCTAATTTAAATCAAATAAACCTAGTAATAAAACGGCAGTATTTTGTAGGGCTAGAATCTTACGTGTTAGGATATTAGTTCTGAAATTTAATAAGCAAAGGATAAAGTATGGTATTATCGTCAAAATAAGTTATAATAGAAAATTAACTGTTAATATACGAATAAATAGAATGCTTTTAATTTTAAGTATATAGTATATTTTTTTATTTATATATAGTCATAAAGCAAGTAACCTCCGATAAGCCAGAACATTATTATTACTATTCTTTGTTGTAAACGTGTACTTGTTACGCGTCATTCTTCATGTATAATTCATAGATCAGAGAAAAATATTTTTTCGTTTGTATTATACATTATGAATTGACAGTTTTTCTAAATATTATAAGTTAAACGCCCTTATGTCATCTTAAATATTGTGGGTAGAATATTTCACTTGGATTTTTTTAATCTATTTTAACGGTTTTATATTTCAAGTTTTGTATACTTCAAGCGTTTGATTAAAGATCACCAGAAAATTATTAAAAAAAAAAATCAATTCAGCTTCGGATCTTGAATCCATTCATCAGGAATTAATATATAGCAATAGAGATTTGGAGCTGACCTAGTTTTTATTTTTTGTAATCATTTACTGGTGCATAAAATAAAATAATTACCGGTGAATTCGGAATTTTATTATTACAGTATTACGTGGTATTAAACTCAAAGAAAAAAATCTCAAGTAGTTACTATGATGAAAAGAAATGAACCTTTCTATTTATAATTTTATCTTTGGTCTCTTTGACTTTTGATCTTTTTTGTTTACAATGCCTCTGCTGATTGCATTGAAAACCTGCCAACATTGTTGGGTGCGATGTGGACATTATTGTGGTTTTTATTTTGGATTTTGTGACCACATGCTTGATTATCACATATTTCAAACTGATGATGAACTCGATTGTCACTTTAGAGTTCCCAGTGTTCCTGACATGAATAATTAAATATAACAATGCTCTTTTAGATATGTTATCTATATATTCTTTTAAATTTATAACATTTGATCATAGTGCAATTCAAAATTTCTTGAAATTGTTATTAAATTTCCTAACTCTTAAAAAAGTTCTTTTCTATAAAATTATATACTTAGTTAATGTATATAATACTAATATAAATTTATTCAGAATTGTTCAATTTTCATCACAATATGATAGGAATCTTTGTTATGAACAATTTTATAGTCAAAAATATAAATTGTTAAGATCTTTAAATAAAATTATCAGTACTATTGAGATTAGTTATAAGTTACTATTATATTGAATGCGTTAAAAGAACTTTAATTTGCAATAGACATTACGTGACATCAATCTAAAATAGTTTCAATTTATATTTGAGCATATAAATATTTAGATGTCAAACTTATTTAAGACTAAAACTTGCCCATGATCATGCAGGCAGCTTCACTGTCTGATTTTAATTACCATATAAACGCGAAATAATACCCATAGGTGCTATTTTAAATTTGGTTCTTTAAAAATAACACGTGGTCCAAATTAGCGCCTATGAAATTAATGCGCATCCCCTGTAAATAAATATTTAAAAAAAGTAAATAAATAAAAAGAGCCTCCAAAACTACGTTTAGTATTAAGTAAACATATAGTAAAATACTTTCAAGCTTTAACAAAATTTGTTCTTCAGATTGAGACAATTAAAACGGTGGTAAAATCATCAAAAAATAGTTTAATAATGGCACTTCAAAATTTATAATTGTTATAATAGGAAAAATAAGGTAAAACTTGAGTTGCAAACTGGTAATAACTACTATGTAGATCAGGTTATGCTTACGAAGAACGGAGTGCTATGTTAGTAATATGAAGCATATTGGTTTATGATGAGTTAATGTTAAGCAATTTCCATCGACAAAATCTTAAACTTCATTGGTGGCAGAGCAAAAAAGTTATAGGACTAAAACTTCCCATCGATATTAAAAATATTCCAGATCCGATAAATATTTTTTAATAAGATAACTGCACAACGTAAGCCAGAAACAGGAAAAGTTTTGATAAATTATTTACTTACTATCTCATATGCATATATCATAATTAGGCCATTTCAAATTGGTTAACTTAACAAAAAATAACTGTAAGAGGGGGCAATAAACAACATCGTAATTTTATTGGCTGTAAAAAATAATTTCAAAAGTTAATACTGCTATTTAACAAAGAATCAATTTGGAACGACCTTATTGAATTATGACTTGGTATGTGTGGATTTTTTATTAAATTACCCGAGCAATTGATTTACATCAGCCAATCAGACGAAAATCCTCCTATGAGAATATTATGTATACAAATATCACAAATGAAATTCTAAAAAAATTCTGTATCGTATTTCATTTTCTAGTATACAATTATTATTATATTCACATTGAACCGTATTCGTCATTAATCGGGTTAGAAATATGTTTTTTAAAATGAAATTATGTCGTGTGTTGATAATTTCTTGATATTATAATTCCTCGTTAAAAAAAAGAATTTGTCATTTTTTCGTAGAGAAATCTTTTTACCATCTCCTTTCAATAATCTCTTTAACTTTCCCTAATGTGGTCCCATTGATTACACTCCATTCTTTTCTTTTACTAGCCCATCTCTCCCACTTTCCCCATTTTTCATCATTTTGCATCCAATTCGAGTTCTTTAATCTGAATTCCAAACACCATTTCGTTGATGGTATTAAACATTTTATCCAATCAAGTGAAAAATTTGTTCCCAATGCTGTTGGACCAACTTGTTTTTTTGTATATGGTGATAAACGAATTAGAAGTTCATCCCTTGCTGAAATTATTTGATTTAAATGTGAAAAGAGTGTAACTTCTTGATGGTCTTGAAGAAATCTAAGTATTTCCTCCTTAGTACCAATTATTAAAAAATATGATACTTGTGTTGCTGATATAAGAAGTCGTGTAAAATTATGAGGTGGTGCTATTAAACGGGTTGATTGAGGGTTGTCCTCTTTTTATTTTTAAATTAATTAATTCAAATTGTGAAATAAAAATATGAAATTCTTAAAAATGATACTTGCGAATTATATATCCAAATTTCATGTCGATTAAAAAGCAAAAATACTGAATTTTTCTTTATTTTGGCAATATTTGTAATGTTCTTTTAATTGATTGTCACACAAATATTTAACAGTTTAGTTCGTTTACATTGGATATAATTGGTTAGATAGGTATATACAAAAGCAATTGATTTTTATTCACCAATAAGATTATCTCCCTCTTATAAAATTTAAAGGTTTCGAGTCACCAGCGGAATAACGATCTACCTAAAAATCATGCGTTTTTTTTTTCTTTTTTCTAAATCAAAAACTTTGATTGTACCACAACACAAAAAAATTTTTCATAGATCTACAAAAATTTTTAATCCTTCTCGACATTACTTACGTATTCGACAAAATGGAAAAATTTGGAATTCAAAATTAACAGTGTTTGATTCTTCTTCAAATGATAAAATAGATAAATTTGATTCAGACAAAATTGTTTCTGATCCAATTACAAAATTTGAACATTCACCATCACATAAAGATATATCCTTTCGTAATTTAATTTTATCAATTAAACAGTATGCTATTACTGCCTTTATGCCCAAAGATTATCATGACTCTGTAACTAAAGATTATTGGGGATTTGCGAAATGGCAGTTTTTTCATAATATTGCCGGATCTGTCACTGGAGGTATTATTTCCTTAATTATGATTTCAAACCCTATTAAATTTGTTTTTCCCTACTTATTTTTCATTTTTTGATAGTTTTATCAACGCAATCTTTAATTTACGCCATGGGACTGGGCGCAAATTCAATCCCTGTGCGTTAATTATCATTCAATAATGTGTGGTGATTCATGGCTGTTATTACTGGGCTAATATGTCAATTTTATCATTGAAGCTCGCTGCAGCATTAAATTGGATTATAAAAGATGGTTTAGGTCAATTAGGCGGCGTGGTCTATGCTGCTTCTATCAATAACCGTTTTGACTCTGAGCCAAAACGTCATCGCTTTCAATCAGTAATTGTTATGCAATGGGCTTCTCTATTGGAATTGTTGGCTCCTTTATGGCCAGGAATCTTTTTAGTTATCGCTTCGGTTTCAAACATTGGTATAATAATCTATTATTATTATTATTTTTATTTTTATTATTTTTATGATCTAATTTAAAAACATTTGCTTAACGTTCATGTTTATTTATATAAATTAAATTATAACTCCAGGAAAAAATATTGCTTGGCTGGCTGGTTCTGCAACTCGGTAAGATCCGAATTCCATATGAAATTAACTTTTTAAGTATAGCAAAATCTTATATGACTATTTCATTCAATTCAGCGCACAAATGCACAAAACTTTCGCTTTAAGAGAGAAGTAAGTATACTTAATATCTTAACGATTCTAAACCCAATAATTGTTAATAATAAATATACAAATAGTTTGGGTGATATTACCGGAAAGTCTGGGTCACAAAGTACGGCAGCAGGTCTACTTGGTACGTAAGTAATATTTATACATATTAAAATCTCGTCTATATATATATTAAAACTTGGAATATGCAATTGTCCCCGACTCTTGCATATTCGTGTAACATCCACATATCGTCTTTCTGTATTTTACGTTCTCGTTTCCAAGAAACTTTAGTATTAAAAATCCGTTAGCGTAAGCAATGGGTCATGTACTATATGAGTGCCGCCAAGGTAAAACCAATAATTCTTGATTTTCAGAAATTTCACTTTTAGAAACAGACAATATCAGATTCTTATAAATCGTTGCTGAAAATGAAATTTCGGAAACTAACAATTACTGGTTTTCCCTTGTCGACACTCATATAGTATAGCTTTTTTAAAAAAAATACTGCATCTTATTTCGAAGATAATTATGTTACATCCGATCTTGTGGTTTGATTGTCATGGGAGTGCGACAAAAATGTAAAAATGTAATAAATAATAGGGTGCGACAAATAATAAATATTTCCTAATTTTAATATACATAGGAACTGCCCTTGGTGTTATTATCAGTGCTTCCATTACATTTCATAATGCTTCTCAGTCGATTATTCCAATCATTATCTGCTTTATTCCATTTTCAATTTTCAACATTTATTCAAGCTATCGGTCTAATCTTTATGTGACAACAAATACTCTCAATGTTCCTCGTGCAGAAATGATTTTATATGGCATTTTAAGACAATTTGATGAAAGAGCAAATATATCTCTACCAGATAAGGGTGTTATAAAAAATCTTATACCGACACCAAAAAATATATCATCACGAGAAATATTCGTTGGTTATTATCATTCTTTATTTAACATACCTCTGGTGATCGAACCTGCTTTACATCATTATACTTCACAAGAATATACAAATAATTTGCTTACATCTCTGACACATAAAGGGTTCATTCATTCTGAAGAATATTTCATTCTTCATGCTCCAAATCGTAGTCTCGGTAACAAACAACATGTTGTACTTTGGTTTTCACAAAATGCAAAATCAAAAGATATGATTAAAGGTTTTTATCATGCATGTGTAATAAGGTATTTGTTGGAAGGTTATGATCTTTTTAAGTTAGATAAAGACTATAATGATTTCATTTTTAATATTATGAAAATTTCTCATGAATGGGTAGAAGATTCATTTGAAGTTTTTTTAAAAGTTCTTGTAAAAAAAAATTGGGAGATTGAACATACTTTTTTGACGGATAAAAATGATCATAGAATATCTATTGACAAATAGTTATAGTACTGTTATAGTTTTTTTTTTCCTCTCATTCTCTCTTTTTTACACACTATCATGTATTTGCATTCGGAATGTTTTCATATTATGCAAATCTTGTTAATTAGTACAAACCATATATCAAATAATTTTTTTTTGTTATTTCCAATTCAAAATTAAAGATCCTTAATCATGAGAAAGTTTGACTCGAATTTAGATAAGTACAATTTAAAATACAAATTACCGAATCAAATGAATTAGGAATTTTAATTAAAAATTCCAAAAAATGTCAATAGTATCAGTGTACCAGTATCAATTTAGTTATGGAATAGTCCTGAAAGAAACAGGAATTACGCTTTACTTGTACGGCAACATTTTCATTTAGAAATTTCATTTATATTTTAGAAATATGTTTTCGATAAAATTATAAAGTCACCGTTGTAAACATATTATAATTTATTCAAAAGATCCCTTGATGTTAAACTCAACATTTATAAATAAGTTGGTAAGCTTGAATTATAAAGTCATCAACGAATAACCGGGATCAAGTCCCAACGTCGGGTCCTGCAGAACCGACTCGGACAGAAATCGCAAGAGGATGTTTCTAGCACAATTGTAATCCCGTCCATCACGAGATTTTTGTTGCAAGAATTTCTTGAATCGGTGGTGTGACCAGGTGAATATAGAGCGAGCGCATCTCTACCAAGCTTCATGGATAGATGATGTTGAGACGCATAATACAATTAAATCATGGTTGCCCCACTCGCACACTAAACCAGATGGACCACAAGAGGTTATGAAAATTCGCACACCCGTATCAAGAGGGATTATATTAGAGAGGATGCTTGGGTCTCGCGAACCTCCAATGCAGTGTTGTATCCTCAAAATAATGGGCTTATGGACCAATTGGAATGGACCTCATTTGGACCATTCCAATTGTTCCAAAGAATTTTAAATGGAGGTCCATAATTTGTCACGTGAAAGTTTATATCCAATCAAATTACAGTATTTATTTAGAATAAAAAAATTTTTATACATATGTAAGAAAAATGCTTCGTTGCTCCATCTGCCATAGAAATACGTAGTTTTTTTCAAACATGATAGTGACAAATAATTTGTAGAATAGTCAATACATTTCTTAAACAGTGCATATTTGTAAAGATTAATGATTTAATCGAAATAATCGATATTATAAAGGTGTTAAGGTTTAATCACTGCATAAACCATAATACGTACGTACGTAGTTTCATTGCGTTTTTAATTAATATATATGTTTATTTGCACCGTTTATAGTATTCCCGAAAATAATATCCTACCACATAACGTATCCCTTTTCCATCAATGAAATCACTGGATTCGTGAATAGTAGCCGGTACTACGTATTCAATTTTCAAATGGGATTCTTGGATACTATAGGTAGTGCTAAGCGGTATTCCTTCCCTAAAATCTTCGCGACATTCATTATTAGTTTTGTAATGTGTTTTCAGGGCATAAACTATTCATTATTAAGGCATTGCATTACGGCGACTTTTTATACTACCCTAAAAATTATGACGCACATGATTTGACCATGATTAACTATTTAAGAGATATATATACAATATAAATAATTTAATCGATATTTGATTGCTTTTTTACAATGAACGATATGCAAGAAATTCATAATTATCCTTTCGATTCAATTATTAAATTTAAACAGCCAAAACATAGCTTTTTATATAATGTTATCAAAGAAGGCACATATCCTAATAAATCATTATTAGCACATACTCTTCCGCCAAATAAATATCAAATTCCTGATAATTATACAATAGAAACTACTTGGGGTAGAGGCCATAACCAATGCACTGTTCGATGTTTTATTAACTATAATATGGAAGGTCCAGTTTTTCAAATACATTTTGGAAAACACTTTGAATATGAAGTATCTTTTACTAAAATGGCTACAGATGCTGCAAATTTATTTCATCAAGTTTGTATTTAATAGTTATTATTTTTAGAATATATTTAATATTTATTGTATATAAATTAATACGATTTTATTTTTTAGAAATATACACCTAAAAAAGGAACTAAGACATCATTATTTGGCCTTCATCTTAAAATATTAAATGAAATAAGAAAATCAAAACGATATTCAAATGCATTAAAGCAAGTTGATCAATGTAGTAACATACAGTGGCTCTCAAAAAGAATGCATCACCTGAAAACCAAAATTTGAGCTTGTATATCTCCTCAACGACAGGTTGTTTTGAAATAATTTTTTTTTTATTTAATTAGCATAAACCCATAATATTTAATGTTAAAATTTTAACAAAATTGAATCACACAATCTCGAGCTATGTTATGATTTATCAAATTTTGGTGATGCATTTTTTTTGGAATTCCTAATTAAAAATTTAATAGTGATTTTAGCTTTGAACAGGAATATTAGTGACAGTAGCCCAAATAACTTAAGTTTTAAGTTATTAGACTGTTGCGTAGGTTTTTAGGATTTAAGAATGTCCTTGGGCGTTAAAATCAGTTAGGTCCTCATCAAGTGGTATACAATTTTAGCCAAATAAAACTTCGTAATTAAAAATTTAATAGTAATTTACTATTAAATTTTTAATCATGAAGTTTTATTTGGCTAAAATTGTATACTACTCAATGAGGATCTAACCGATTTTAACGCCCAAGAACATTCTTAAATCCTAAAAACCTACGCAACAGTCTGATAACTTAAAACTTAAGTTATCTGGGCTACTGTTATTAATATTCCTGTTCAAAGCTAAAATCAATATTAAATTTTTAATTAAGAATTTTAAAAAAAATGCATCACCAAAATTTGATAAATTGTAATGTAGCTCGAGATTGTGTGATTCAATTTTGTTAAAATTTTAACATTAAATATTATGGGTTTATGCTAATTAAATAAAAAAAAAATTATTTCAAAACAACCTGTCATTGAGGAGATATACAAGCTCAAATTTTGGTTTTCAGGTAATGCATTCTTTTTGAAAGCCACTGTAAATCTTACAAAGCGGGCTATTAATACTGAAAAATTAATGTTAACTGAATTCAATAAGAAAATTTCTGAAGTATACAATTCTGATGATATACCAATATTAAAAAGTTTAAATTATTCAGTTAAACAATATACTTATAAGATTAATTATGGTGACAAAGATAAAATTAAAAAAAGCAAAAAACTGAGTTGATAGCTAAAACATTCGATAGACAAAATATTTTAAGAAATTCTTATTAAGATTTATGTACTATAGAGTTTCATTTACTATCTGAAAAGTTAATATATTAAAAGCATCAAGCAATAAATAAAAAAATGGCACAGTTTATACCAATATCCATTATAGATATAATTAATAAAGGTCAAATCAAGGGTGTGGCGACTTAGTGTAGTTGGTAAGTTGTTGCACCCCCAAGCAGCAGGACAAGAGTTTGAATCCCACCGGCGACGAAATTCGAATTTGCGGAAATGCATTACGGTTAAACTGTATAACATATCAATTGGGTAAGCACCTGTAACCTTGGTCTTTTAAACTGACTAAGTCATTACGAAATAAAGCTGTTATATTCATTAATGTTTTATAATCTTCTGATCCAGTATAAAGTACAATTGTATAATGATAATTTGGCTGTTGTATTGTATCTTTATCATCTGGAATAGCCATTGTTATCATTGTATAGTCAGAGATTTTACCAAATTAGAAAATCGCATCCTAGAATGATCTACAAATAGATTCTTGAATTTGATTGGCCCTCACATGTCTTTACCTCAAAAACATACATCTTGAAAAAAAATTTTTTGATAATGATTATAGTCTAACAAGCTTTGAATATATAGTTCAGAACATCTAGTTTCAATAATCTCAAATAATCCCTTATTGCAAGCTCTTTTAATTAAAGTAAATAAAACATAAAAACAGGTACGTACTTTATATAGAAAGTTAGAAATCATCATCAGTTAACTTAAGATGACTTTGAAAATTTTTTTTATTTATATTTAAACGAAAGATTTAAAAATTTATTTATACTACAACATTTATATTTTAATTTAATTATTATATAGGTATCTATATAGTTACAGAAAAGAACACTTAGGATAGTCAAAGTAGATTTAGATCACAAATTGATATATAAGTGGCATTGTTAAATAATATTGCTTATACGGGGGTAATATTATTTAATATGATACAAACTAAATTTTGTAATAGAACATTAATAAAGGCGGCAATAATTAAGTGTAATAAAATTATTATTTAAAATATTTAATACGTAAAAAGTGAAGCTTCGCTCATAGTTTTGTTAATAATAAGTCATTCATTCATATATAGAGTTTTTGATGAATTTGATTGGCTCATATTCATGTGTCATGAAATCTAGAATTTTCTGATCGACATCCTGATACCATAAATAGTGCGATCTTTAATGTCCATTTTTGGTAAAATCCCTGACTGTTGTATATTTTACTTGTCATCCAACATTTCTTTTATTCCAGATATTCAAAGATTAATAATTGGTTGGTGTAACTTTAAAATTCCTTTTTGAACAAGGTTTGAAATTAAATATTGTAGAATGTTTTTAATACTTCTATAACCACCTTTGTCAACTGTATTAATGACTTCTTATACTATAAACTTATCATCTATATCAGCTTATTCAATTTGATCAATTTGACCTTTATTTTTATTTTTATTTTTTTTATTTTTTATTTTTTTAATGTTAAGGTGACCACTTTGGGGTCTGGCACATTTTATTGAACTTTGATTCGAATGTCAGAGCAACCACAAGGGCTACCTCTGACTTTGTTACATTAACGAGGGTACAACTAGCCATATGTACAACTTTTGGTTGTCTATTTAAGCAGTCTTGCATA